CCCTGACACACACACTGCACCTTCCGGCCGGTCCCTGACACACACTGCACCTTCCGGCTGGTCCCCGACACACACACTGCACCTTCCGGCCGGTCCCCGACACACACTGCAGCACCTTCCAGGGCTGGCAGGCATCTCCTCCAGGTAGGGGACAGTACTTGGCAGTTGTAACCGGAAAGTTCAGAAGAGCTGGGCAGAGTGGTTTGTGCCTGTAATCCCAGCACTTTGGGAGGGTGTGGTGGGAGGATCACCTGAGGTCAGGAGTTCAAGACCAGCCTGGGCAACATGGTGAAACCCTGTCTCTACTAAAAATTCAAAAATTAGCTGGGCGTGGCGGCTGGCGCCTATAATCCAGCTGCTTGAGAGGCTGAGGCAGGAGAATCGCTTGAACCCAGGAGGCAGAGGTTGCAGTGAGCTGAGATGGCACCTGGGCCACGAGTGAAACTCCATCTCAAAAAAGAAAAAAACCACAGCCTTGTCCCCCTGCAGAGGCGGCCTCTGCCTTTATGACAGAGTCTTGCTCTGTCACCCGGGCTAGAATGCAGTGGTGTGATCTTGGCCCACTGAGCCTCTGCCTGCTGTAGCTGTGGCTGCAGGCACACACCCCCGTGCCCTGACAGTGTTTATATTTTTAGTAGACACGGGGTTTCACTGTGCTGGCCAGCATGGTCTTCAGCTCCTGACCTCAGGTGCCTCACCTGCGTCAGCCTCCCAAAGTGCTGGGATTACAGGCATGAGCCACCACACCTGGCCCAGGACCCTGTTTATTTAATGCTCCCTTTTTCTTGCCTTTTTTTTTTTTTTTTTTGAGATGGAGTCTCACTCTGGCACCCAGGCTGGAGTGCACGTGGCACAATCAGCCCAATGGAACCTCCGCCTCCCCAGTTCAAGCAGTTCTCCTGCCTCAGCCTCCCAAGTAGCTGGGATTACAGGTGCCCACCACCATGCCCGGCTAATTTTTTTGTATTTAGTAGAGATGGGATTTCACTATGTTGGTCTGGCTGGTCTCAAACTCCTGACCTCGTGATCTACCTGCCTCGGCCTCCCAAAGTGCTGGGATTACAGGCGTGAGCCACCGCGCCCGGCCAGTGCCCCCTTTTTCTTACTGCTGGAGAAGCCAGGTGACAGCAACCCCTAGACACACACACAGCCTCGCTCCTGCTGCCACTGAGAGACAGGGCGAACGGTTCAGGCTTTGCATTTAGGTCAGCTGCTCCACTCTGCCCTGGTTAGGAGAAGCAGGCCTGGATGGTCTGTGAGTGCATGGGCGCGGAGGCGTGCCGGTACGATTTTACTCACACAGTCAGGCCTCTTGGGGTTTGGCCGCAGTTGCAGCTGCTGGGTTGGATCATTGGCTGTTGTTACAAATGGTCCATCATATTGGTGGGGAGACCTGCCCTCAGTCCCACATGGAGCAGGGCATAGAGTACAAGATTTGGGGCCAGAAGACGCAAAGATAACCCCGTTTCTGCCCTTCCTGACCTTGTCCTTGCCTTCCCCAGTGGGCTGTCCAGAGAACTGAGAGGCCTGGGAGGGCGTGACCACCGGGGGACGGGCATGGTGGCTCATGCCTGGAATCCCAGCACTTTGGGAGGCTGAGGCGGGCGGATTCCTTGAGGCCAGGAGTTCAAGACCAGCCTGGGCAACATGGTGAAAACCCGTTATTTGCAAAAACTACAAAAATTAGCTGGGCATGGTGGCACCCACCTGTAATCCCAGCTTTTTGGGAGGCTGAGACATGAGAAATCACTTGAATCCGGGAGGCGGAGGTTGCAGTGAGCGGAGATTATACCACTGCACTCCAGCCTGGGCGACAGAGCGAGACCCTGTCTCCAAAAAATAAGTGGGACGAGGGGCATAGGAATGACAGGAGGCATGGTAGTCTCATCCCCGGGACACGTGTGTATGTGTTTAACTTTTAAACTTTTTTTTTTTTTTTTT